CATAAGAATCATTTCTAGATCTTGAAATGAAAGTAGCATCATTCTATCCACTATGTTTAGTCAGAAATGTAACTGAATGTACTCACACTCACACACATAGAAGAAAATTGTTGCATTAAAAAAGATATACTTTACCCAGAAGTATGGTTACACTGGACAGAATTGGACATTAATATGCCAATGTTGCAATATAAGTGGCCCACTGTTGAGAACACTTTAGATGGCATATTTTCAGCAGTTAATACCTCCAAATAGATCAATATGAAACTATGTCTTAAAATGCCATTCCAGAAAAGGTTTCTAATAAAAAGTGATGCAGATAAGTTTTGTATTGTTCAGCCGTAAATGGTAAATAAGCAAGCTTGTGTCCATACAGTAGATCACTCAGTAAAAAATTACAAATAAAGGAATTTTACTGAGAGAATATATGTATGTTATATATGAAGAGCTGGAGAAGTAGTAAAGAGACTGATTGAGTGTGTTTCCAATTCCAAGGTTATTAAAAAATAAAAGTATAGGTAGTTCTTGACTTACCACCACAACTGAACCAAAACTTATGTTGCTAAGTAAAACATTTGTTAAGTGGGTTTCTCCATTTTATAACCTTTTTGGCCACAGTTGTTAAATGAATTACTATAGTTGTTAAATTAATCAAACTGTTGTTAAGTGAATCTGGCTTCCCCATTGACTTTGCTTGTCGGAAGGTCGCAAAAGGGGATCACGTGATCCCGGGACATTACAGACATCATAAATATGAGTAATTGCAAAGTATCTGAATTTTGATCACACGACCATAGGGGTGCTACAACAGTCGTAAGTGTGAAAACTGGTCATAAGCCACTTTTTTCCCTTCTGTTGTAACTTTGAATGGTCACTAAACAAACTGTTGTAAGTCGAGGACTATCTGTAAATGGCCTTCAATCATGAGTAAACAACTTGTAAGCTACGTACAAAACTTATCACAAAATGTTCCGCTTCAGACTTCTGGCATCCCACCGACCGGAAGCTTAGGATGATATCCTGGCCATAAAGAAAGAGATCTATGATTTCCCTGGTGCCATTGATGTAGGAAATCATAAAGTCTGATCCTCATCAGCCAGCTGATCCTCTAATCAACTCAGTATTTTTTCAATCCATTAATAGAAGAAAGCCTGAGCAATATGTACAGTATCTCTGGAAGGAAGCCTTATTGTTTCCCCCTTTTGAATGATATAAAGAAGTCTTGACATAAAGAAGTTGAAATGCCTGTGAAGTGTCTCATAGATAAAAGCACTTCCACCCTTCAGGGTCAAAGAGGTTAGTTATCTAAATTTTAAACTAACTAACCCCTTAATTCTTTCTCAGAAACATATTGTTAATATTATCCTACTACAAAATAAACACTACCGCGTAGAGATGATGAACATAAAGTACTCAACAACCCTATATGAATAAACGTCAATGCACTCCTTTTTTTAGCAGAACTGACTTGCAGATCAGCAACTTAAAAACCAAATGCTGCTCTTGGAAATTAGAAAAATATCAGGAGAGTTGCAGACAGATGTTTTGTTAATGACTAATAGACCGATCCACAAATCAACTTAAATGGAATTAGACAACTTCTTGTCTATTTCAGTGGAAATAAATGTTAGTAGTAACAAAATAAGTTAAGATGCTCAAATTTGCATGATATGACTGTATAAAAATAGAGGTTTTTATGATTCCTTCCACTGTGCCATGCTTTTCACTATGAATATCACTAATTTATTTATTTGCATCCCAACTGTATTGATTTTATGAATAACTTAAAACAGCGAACATATCCAATATATCTTTGTCTCCTATTTTCACAACAACTCTCTGAAGGTGAGTTAGGCTAAGAGAGAGTGACAGGCTCAAAATCACCCAGCTGGCTAAAGGAGGGACTTAAACTCATGGTCTTCCCCTTTCTAGCCGGGTGCCTTAACCAGGGGTGGAATTCTACCAGTTCCCACCTATTCTTTAGAACCAGTTGTTAACATTCTAAGCAGTTCAGAGAACCGGTTGTTAGAAGAAATTACTGTCCTAATCCTGTAAGGAAGGCAGGAAGGAAACATTCTGGTGTTGCTTACAGAAACTGCCTCTCCGTTAACCCTTATTACATTCTTGGCAGGACTAGACTTCTTGTCTCAGAAACTTCTCTGGAGTTTTTTCCCCCTCCTTTCTGGTACTTTGCTTGTGTGGAGTGACCATTTAAAGTTACAATGGCATAAGTGACTTATGACCATTTTTCACACTTACGACTGTTGCAGCATCTGCACAGTCATGAGAGGCCAGGCAAGGAGATCCGTGCCTCGATGTGAGTGATATTGAGTTGGCCACGCCCAGCCAATAACATGACCACCAAGCCATGTCCACCCAGTCACATGACCACCAAGCCACACCTACCATCTAAGCCATGCCCACAGAACCAGTTGTTAAAAATTTTGAATCCCACCGCTGGCCTTAACCACTAGCTCTCTAGACCAGGGGTGTCAAACTGGCAGCCCGCGGGTTGAATGGATCACACACAGGCCACGCCTACCCTGGCTCCGCAAATGCAAAAAATGTCGTGATACATCACAATACATCACATGACGCAATCAAGTTTGATACCCATGCTTTAGACCCAAACTGGCTCTCTAATTATTTCGGTGGGCTTAGAGCTAGGCAATAAATAAGCATATCATTTGAAATAATTAAATTTTAAAATGATAAGACTTTTACCATTTTGTAAGTAAAGTTTAGAAGCGAAGGAGAGAAATACCCTTATTTCTTGTTCCAAGTTTATTGGTTCTTTACAGAAAAATAGTGTAGAAAATACTGACTTTGCAGCTCATTCAGGCATAGCAGGAACAAATTCTGACATATGTCCACAAAGCTTGTACACCCAAAGCAGCATTCCACTGGAATTCACTCATAGGACAAGCTGGTGACTCAGTTCTGACAAGGTTCCAATTTCTGACAGGTTTCTGTCTTTGGGTGCATAAATGACTTCCTGCTCTAACTTGGATAAGCCAACTATCAGTAGCATAATGGAAGAGTTCTAAGAACAATCCAGCTTTCATGGCTATTTATCTGGACAGAGTAGGAGTAAGTTCTGACTGCAATCCAAGTTTGTCTGCATATGCCACAAGGTTCATTGCATGCAAACCTGGAGTACAGGTAGTCCTTGATTTATGACCACAATTGAGCCCAAAATTTATATTGCTCAGTGAGACAGTTATGTGAGGTTTGACCCCATTTTCTTTCTTGCCACAGTTGTTTAAGTGAATCACTAGTATTCATTGGCAACATGGTTGTTCCCTACTGACTTTGCAAAAGGTGATCACATGACCTTGGGACACGGCAACCATCATAAATATGAACCAGCTGCCAAGCATCTGAATTTTGATCACATGACCACAGGGATGCTGCAATGGTTGTAAGTGTGAAAATGGTTATAAGTTACTTTTTTTCACTGCCGTTGTAACTTTGAAAGGTCCCTAAATTGTAAATTGAGGAATTAGCTTGTCTAGGCAGAGTGGCAGTGAGTTCTGACAGATCTGTTTTTTTCATGCAGCTGAACTCATGTTAAAACTCTCTTCCATGGCCTGGTCAAGCTGGAAGATGGACTAGCTTTGCTTAAAAATTTTGTTTTGTACAGAAGGGAAGCATAGGACTATTATTACCTTTATTACCTTTATTGTCAGAGTACAACATGTGTACAATGAGATTGGCTGAGCCTCTCTTCGTGCACACACTCCCAACACAACTCACAGAAGTTGAGGACAGAAGTCCCTAACCCAGTCCCAATCTTATTACACTATGTGACCTTGTTGCACAATGCGCCGGCCCCACAAGTCTATCATACTATGTTGACATGAAGTTATTTTCCATTCAGAAGTCTGACAGTCCATGGGTATGACCTTCCAAGTACTACTGTCATTAATTCCCATGAATCCTGACAATTTCCCATGATGGCTAAGCTTAATGGAACTTGGAACCCAACAATAGTTTGAAGGTAGTTTCTACAAATATCACACAGCCAAGACTTCTGAGCTTGCATTTAATAACCTCTTTGCAATCAGTGGGGCTTAGACAGTACTTTGGCTGAAATGCCATAGCAGGTCCATCCTATTTGCAACCTTAAATAAATTCTATCATTAAAGATGCCAAAGCACTATTCCAAGGTATAGCAACTATTCTCACTTTTTTTTTTTTTTTGGTCTGACTGAAAGATGCTTCCAGTAAGACTATTTCCCATCTATGCAATCAAGAGATAAGTTAATAAAGCCTTAATCTCTCAATTTAGACTCTCAGAAGGCAGGAACAGTTGTTTGTGGTCCCATCTATTGTTACTGCAAATTAACAGTCATGCAAACAGTCAGCTTCCTACATGTCTCACTTTTACATGACATAGTTCCTCTTTCATTTTCTTCTGCTTGCTGATCTAAGTGGTTTCAGGCAGAATTCAGCAAAATGAGATGAGGGAGGGGATTTTAATAGCACAACTACAAATACTGCCCTGTATTATCACCCCCTCTCCTGTCTTCACATGAAAAGTAACACCACCCAAGAGAAAAATAGACTGAATCGCTTTAAGCATGTAAGTAGGTGGTATAAATAAGACTATTATACCAATTATGGTACAACCGAAGTCCTTATTTTTAACTGTACTGGATACCCTCACCACCACCCCCTCTAGGGATTTATACTTTTGTTTCTTTATCCCTATTCCTCATCCCGCACATTATGTGGCAAACCAGCTTTCCATCTGCGCTCCCAAACAAGCATCTCGCAACTCTTTGCCAAATTCAAGCAACTCTGGCTAAGGCTGCCGGCGAAAGCCCAACAGCAATCCAAAGTGACCTCCTGGAGGCTGGCTGCATTGAAACAAAGACATTATAAGCAGCCCAGACGGGATGGGGAAGACACAAGGGGAAGTGATTCAAGGCGCGCATAAAGGCACACATCAAGGAGACCCGGAAGAAACCTGGGCAAAAGCGTCCGCATCACTTTACCTGGGACATCTGAGGTCTCAGGTTGATCTCCTTGAGATTGAGGGCGTGAGGGCGCAAATTGTTGAGCAGCTGGCAGAGCAGGACTCCATCGCGAAGGGTCTGGGCCAGGTCGAACACCTGCGCCTCGTCCCAAGTCACCCGGTGATTGACCGGCAACACCCGGCACTGGATGAGCCAGTGAGCACACTGCTTCCAAGGCTCCATCGTTGCGCGCCCGCCCGCGCTCTCAGCCAGAGCACGAAAACTCCCCAAGAAGCGCAAAGGTTTCGCCGAGCTGCCGCTGTCGCCGCTGCTGCTGTTTGTAGCTTGTGGTTCCTGCGCTCGCTCTCCTGTCCGAGCGTCCTCCCTGCCTTTCCTTTCTTCCTGCCGCAGCGGCTCGCCTCCTTTCAGCCCCTCTTCAGCAGACTGAGAAGAGCAGCAGCTGAAAGGCGGCCCGAGAGGCTGCGCGTGCGGTTCCCCCTCCGGCCCCTCCCTCCCGGCGCAGACACACCGCCTGGGGGTGGGGGGGGAGGTGTGGAGAAGCGGCGGGAGAAAAACAAGAGCGCGTGCGCCCCCCCCCTCCTTCCCGGTGAGCGCTTGGCCTCGAGTCGTCGCCCCTTTTTCAGAAGGCGAGAGGTGCGCTCGGTTCTCCCGGGTTCCTGGCGGGGTGCGGGGGGGGGGGGCTAGCAAACAGCCCCAACTTGGGAAAGTGTGGGGTCGAGCGTTAGAACAAAAAACAACACAAACACACCAACAAAGGGAAGAAGAATGAATGCTAAATCACACCGCTGTAAACAAACCACACACACACACACACACACCGCACCCCCCTCGAGTGGTAGGGCTGGGGACATCACTTTCTGTGAAACATGGTAATTGTACACTTCGGGTGTTTTCACAACAATTCGCTGAAACGCATGGGTGCGCTTTGTAAGTTTCACTCTATATATTTAGGTGCAGTTTCTTTGCGCGAAATTGCCTTATAAAAGGCAAGTTTGTTTCTTAGAAATTTTTTTTTAAACCGGTTTTTGGCAAACCCCCCCCCCTCCACTTCTGATTTCACCTACTTTGCAGACTGGTAACTGGGGACTTTTGCTTGTATACAGTACAGGAAAACATGAGGTGGTGTGAGCAGGCTTAAATCCTCTAAACCCCGGGCTTTCCTTGGCAAAGGAAGCATTTTTTTTTCCAGGCAGCAGATATTGGGGAGCAATGATGTGTGGAAGATAAAAACGTGCGTGTCCTTGCCGCGGCACTTCTCGAATTGGCTGGCTTCCATCTTGTTCTGTACATGAGACAGCAAAAACATCTCCCTTGCCCCAACCACAAACGTAATAATAAGAAACAAATAAAAGTCCTGCAATAAAATAATTCATTTGAGGGAAAGAGCTAGAGCACGCAGTGCACCAGAAGTTCACACTGTGGTAGGTTAGAAGTAAGTGACAGCTGATTAATAGAATAGAAGATAATACTTTATTGGCCAAGTGTGACTGGACACACAAGGCATTTGTCTTGGTGTAAATACTCTCAGTATACATAAAAGAAAAGATACATTCGTTAAGAATCAAGAATCATAACGTACAACACTTAATGATAGTCATAGGGCACAATTAGCAATCAAATCATACTAGGAAACAGTCAATATAAATCGTAAGGATACAAGCGACAAAGTTACAATCACAAGTGGGAGGGGATGGGTGATAAGGAGTGATGAGAAGATTAACAGTAATAGTAGTGCAAACTTCGTAATAGCTGAACAATGATGAGGGAATTGTTTGTTTAGCAGAGTGATGGCTTTTGGGGAAAAACTGTTCTTGTGTCTAGTTGTTCTGTTGTGTAGTGCTCTATAGCGTTGTTTTGAGGGAAGGAGTTGAAACAGTTTATGTCCAGGATGTGAGGGGTCTATAAATATTTTCACAGCCCTCTTTTTGACTTGTGCAGTATACAGGTCCTCAACTGAAGGCAGGTGGGTAGTAATTGTTTTTTCTGCAGTCCTAATTATCCTCTGAAGTCTGTGTCGGTCCTGTTGGGTTGCAGAACCAAACCAGACAGTTATAGAGGTGCAGATAGTAGACTCAATGATTCCTCTGTAGAACTGTATCAGCAGCTCCTTGGGCAGTTTGAGCTTTCTGAGTTGGCGCAGAAAGAACATTCTTTGTTGTGCTTTTTTGATGATGTTTTTGATGTTAGGTGTCCATTTTAGGTCATGTGATATAGTAGAACCTAGAAATTTGAAGGTCTCTACTGTTGATACTGTGTTGTCTAGTATTGTAAGAGGTGGTAGTATGGGAGGGTTTCTTCTAAAGTCTACCACCATTTCTACGGTTTTGAGTGTGTTCAGTTCCAGATTGTTCCGGTTACACCACGAGGCAAGTTGTACAACCTCCTGTCTGTATTATGTGGATTCGTCGTTGTCTTGAATGAGACCAATCACTGTTGTGTCATCAGCAAACTTAAAGGTATTGCAATGAGAGTAGACAGGAACCTGTTATCAGGATTATCAGGATACCTATTATTTTGTAAGCAATTGACAAATCAAATAAATAAATAAAATAAATAAATAAATAAACCTGTGAATCAGTTGCAAGTTTGTTACATTATATCAGGTCTATCTTATTGTAGCTGGTAGAAACCAGCATGTCCTCAAGAATACAGGCAGTCTTCAACTTATGTCTCTGTTGTTCAGCGAGACATTTCTTAAGTGAGTCTTGCCCCGTTTTTACCACCTTTCTTGCCACGGTTGTTCAGTGAATCACTGCAGTTGTCAAGTTAGTAACATGATTGTTAAGTGAATCTGGCTTCCCCATTGGCTTTGCTTGTCACATGACCCTGGGTTGGACGCAGAAATGGTCATAAATGTGACCCAGCATCTGAATTTTGATCACATGATCATGGGGGGGTGTGTGCTTGCAAAGGTTGTAAAATACAGCCGAAAGTCACATTTTTCAGTGCCATTTATAACTACGAACAGTCACTAAACAAACTGTTGTAAATCGAGGACTATCTGTATCTATGCTGCCATCATGTGGCCATCAAGTTTTATGCAACCTAAATCTAACATGCTTAATTTATTCGGCTATCCTGATCATTTAAGGACAAAAAAAAATGTGAATTAGAAATGATGGACAACTTATGCATAAATTTCCATCTGTCCTTTCTACTATGTTGTAAAATAATCATCTGTGGCTTCTACTGTAGTTATCAAATGTGGTTACCAAGTATTAGATTGCATTATTAAGTATTATTGTTTATATGTTACATTTACATGCTCTGAGCCATTCTTTGGGTTCAAAAACAATTGAGCCATCTCCTCCCACTGTCGATACATTCATCTTTAGCAGGTACAAGATTTCTAGGAAGACTTCACTTGCACAAGATCTCTCTAGGATGTCATCTTAGTCTCCAGTGGGGAGGATCAGCTAACTACCCAGTAAATGGGTCACAAGGCATAGGGGAATTAGCTAACCAGGACAATTCACTTCCAAATAAAATTTACCCCCCTAAAAATATTACTCCAAATGACACAGTTGAGTAGCCTATATGAACCAGTTGAGCAACCTATATGAACAGCAGACGTATGAATATGATTTTGTATTATATGTTAGATTTATATCCCATCTCTTCTTTGGGAGCAGGGGTCCCCAACCCCCAGGCTGTGGCCCACTACTGGGCCATGTCCTATTTAGAACCAGGCCATGAGTAGAGCTGCGTGCACCCATGCACCAACCCACAACTCATGCAACCCAGTTCCCCTTCCCCCCCGCCCCAGCCAGGCCGCCACGCTGCAAAGGAGAGACTTAAATTGAGATTCACCTTTATTTTCTTCCAACAACAAGCTGATGTTGAATAATTTGCCCAGAATCGACCAGTGGGTTTTTCATGACTGAGAGTGGACTTCAGTCCAAAGCTTCAGAATCTCTCTCTTCTTTCCATTTGCATCTCATACATAGATCTCAGAATTGATACATAAGTTTTTCTGTATCACAGTCCTCCCACCCATTTATCGTCACAAGCTAAGTTTGTCCCAAAGCTGAACTGCAATTCAGAATTCCAACTGCTCTGCCCTGCAGCTGCTAGTTTTGTTTCTGACAGGATTTCTGTATCCCAGGAAGATTTTCAAGAGAGCAGGAAGTATGACTAGGTTTCACTACTGCCTTTTACTCAGATTACAGGAGTGCTGCCAGAAAAAGGTAACACCCTACCTAATTACTGCTTTTATAGAATGTATATATGGCTTACAGGATTAGCGTTTAAGAGATCATTATAAGTTCTGCCTCCTGGATCTTTTTTTCAGCAATCAGCCCCATTAAATTCAGTCAGGTTTGTACTGCTTAAGGCCGCAAAATTGCAAGGCTACAATGCAAATGTATGAATTGTATACATAGTTCCTTGAGTTATAAGGATGTTATTTTCAAACAAGTATAGGATTTATACTACAGGTAGCCCCTGATTTACTTACTTATTCGACTCATTTACCACCCATCTCGCTTCCATTATGATCGTAAGACATGACAGTCACAAAACAAGTCACACATGGCTGACTTGATTTTAAAATCTTCTTTGCAGTGATTGTTTAGTGCATCTCTGGTTGTTAAATGAACCCATTTTTTTTCTATGGGGTGTTTTTACCAAAAGCCAGAAATAAATCTTGAGTTTTCACAAAAATGTAAATCATGGTCATGAAAGCGCAGGATGCTGCAAACAGCTGTAAATGCAGGCTGGTTGCCAAGTGCCCAAAATGTGGAGGGGGGCAGCCCTTGGAACTTTGTAACTCAGTCATAAGTATCTTTCAGGGGTCCATTGTAACAATTGCTAAGTGTCCAGTTGTCAAAAACTACCTCCATGCTATGCTATGCTATGCTATGCTATGCTATGCTATGCTATAGAGATAAAGATACAGATACAGATATAGATACACATCCTATAGAAGTAAAGGATTTATATACGCTATAATGTTTTTCTTAAAAGTATTTCAAATAAATATTTTGATGTTTGTTCTCTGAGTGGGTTTTTGTTTGTTTGTTTTTATAATCCCTCTACTAATAGGGATTACTAGCTTGTTGATAGCTTGTTCTAAAACAAATCCTAGTAGTTTTGGAACTGGTGGAGACATTTGGAATTCTGAGAATATAACATGACACTGTCAATGGTTTGCCCATTCTAAATGGGTATTATGGGACAGGCTCCAAGATATTGAATGTTGCCCCCCTGTTTTATAATCCCTCCAGGGACATGCCTGACC